TGGGCAAATTCTGTTAAACATATAGAAAAAGCAGAACAATCGTATATCCATATTGCAAATAATATAGAACAAATAATAATTAGAACAGATAGTGGTACTGATATATTATGTGAATAATTTTAAGTAATTTAAGTAGGTAATAAAAATTATTTGCAATTTTATTTTAGGTTTAAACATAAATAAATATTGTTTAGTATCTTTCATAACAAAACCCCAAATAATTAAATTCTAAGAAAAATACGGACCTGTTCGGCCATATTTCATTCTTACAGCTTGCCCGGGTCTTTCCTTAATTCGTATCAGTTAGTCACTTTCTTATATCTACGAACAGATTATAACAGAAGTAAGGGTGAGAGACTGAAGGGAGTGATATTAGACGAGAATGCTAGGCTTCATTAATAGAGATAGAAACAAAAAAAAAACTTGCTTCGATGTTTCCTATCTATTCTCACGGTTCAAAAATGTCTACCAGTAGATAAAAACGCTAATAGCATTGTCCCAGTCACTACAATTTAGTGCGTGTCGGACTATACTTGTTACTGTTATCACACCATCCTTTCTTTACTGTGACTATCCCATTTGCAACAATTTTTCTTACAGTTGACTACGGAACTTTGGTCATGTCACTTGTTTTCACTACTTAAAACGTCAAAGTAATAATTGCACTATATTTTTGGTCGTATTATACTGCGCTTATGGAATAGGGCTAAGTTTTAAAATTCAATAACGAGCATTGTTTAAGTCGAACGTCGAAACATTTGCGAGATTTATTTACAACGGCGTTCCAAACATTATTCTCGATATTCAATTTTTATCGTCGGCACGGGGATTGTGTATGTAATTTCTTTATGCGAATGTTCCGACCGAGAGTTAAGTGAGTATCGTGGGATCTTTACGACTTCCGATGACGATTTTAAGATACCCTTAAAAGTTTGGAAAGAGCGTTTAAGGTCGTTACGTTTGGGGCGAATGACACGCCCGCGGCAGCCCCGATTGCCCCCCCGACGGCTCGGGGGGGGGGGCATTTGGAATTCCCCCCAGGTGCGCGCGTGACCCGCACCTTTCTGATATATTTATTTGCCACGAAAACTTCCGCGAACCGGGATTTCAAACGTAAAATTAACCGAAATCGAAAAGATAAAAAAACTGAGGTTTCGTGATTGCGTTTAAATGTCTAAGAAAATCTACTAGGGATTCTTTTCCATACTTTTGGTTCTAAATGGAAGCTATCGAGAGCATTCTTTTCAAATTAACATCTTTATATAATAAGCGAATAAGAAAATATTTTTTGAAAACAGGTTTTGAAATGGCGCATTTTTGATATATTTTTAATTAAATATTTTATTTATTTATAAATCAATTTACAAATTCGTTAAATTATTTGAGAATCCATAAAATGTCTGTGAAATCCGTGAAATCGAAACTCCATTAGGGTAAGCCTTTCATTATTTTTTGTGGCTTTTAACCATTAAGTCGATTTATTTTTGACTATCTTTAACTGTATTTTCCTAATTTTGGGAAAGCTCCTAGCTGTTGTGTCCCACTCTCTCCTATTTATAATGCTATATATAATAATTGTAATTATTTATTAAAAAAAAATTCTAAAAAAAATATATTAAAGTAACAACTGCGCAAATCTTCGTTTCTAACAAACACCGTCGTCTGCCATTTTGCAAATAGCAAATACAAAGTTAGTCATCCGAATCTGCAAAGACGATATTGCCGAAATTACAAACAAAAACGGATGATAAATTTCCAGTTCCCATTCAATAAATTCAAGATGTTTATGATGACTAAATGTCCCCCAGTAAAACCTTTAATACCATTGCAAACATTCATTCTGAAAGGAAACTATGGTTATGCAGAAACGAAACGTAGGTAGTAGAAAATGAATTTAGATGACACTATTTAGGGTATTTAACATGTAATATTGTCCGATAAGGAAGTTTACGATAATTCATGTTATGCTAATTAGAAAGTTGCTTATTTAGGTCTACAAGCCATCCAAAATTTACTGAAACAAACCGTTAGACGCAACATTCTCAGCAATCTGAACTTTAGACAGGCGAGTAGACACCACAAAAACTAAAAAACAGTCGAAGAACACTGGGAGAGCAAAAAAAAAGATTTTGATTGATTGAAATTGTGTTTACGGCTTTTCAATAGACCACCGTATCACATTATCGCATACAGGGTGTTAATGAAAGTGCGTTCTTTTCGAAATAATAAAATATGAATCCATCTCTCTTGGAGTGAAAAACAAAAAAGTAGGACACCGCAATTCAAGCCAATATAACTCTTTTAGCAGTAAAATATGGTGATATATTTTGACCCACGATTTAGATAGAAGATGAAGAATTAATTTTAAAGATAGTTAATCTTACAAACAAAATGGATGTTTCTGAATCCCAAAAGTGATAACTTTTTTAAAATTTACACTCGTTGGTTCAAGCAATCATATCATGGCAAGGCATGTCATGTATTTAAATACAATATTGCAAACATCTTATTCGTTCTGATCATTTTTTCGCCCATAGGAGGGCAAATTTGGATGGAACTCATTGAATTCACCTCGTTTTGTTGCTCTAGCCTGAATGCATAGTATAGTAAAGGAATTATTGATTAACGAAAGGATTTTTTTCCGTTTGTCCACTTTGTTTGTGCGCCGAATAAAAATAAAATCCGAAAATCGAGCGTAAATCCAAAATAAACCTACAAAATACTTGTAACAATGCGTATTAAATCAGAGTACGAATAGATTTAAATTTCGAAATGTTAAACAAGGGGAGTCCGATGAATTTTCGAGCTAGAAAAGAGCGGCGTTTGGACAGCACGCTTCGGGCGTACAAATTCGACCTGCAGCGGGCGATATATTGTTAATTATTCCCGCCCGCGAACAGTCAGGCCCATAGAAACGCAAAATACTCACGCCGCCGCATTTTTCGTCAAATCCGAAACAATGCCACGCGTAAATCTTCCCCCAAAAACGCTCTAAGCGAACGTATAGTGTGTCTCGAAGTATGTCGTTTTGGCTTTTGGCGCCAATTATCGAAATAACGGGCGTTTTAGATATATTAAAATTAAATGATATAATAATAAAATCAAGCTAGTGCTAATAGAAAACACGATGGCGTCAAATCGAGGGGGAAACCACGAAAATAAATATAAATTAATAATAATATAATAAAAAAATATATATTATATATGTATATATATAAAACATAAATAAATTTTTAAGTCTCCTTTTTACCTCTTTGAATTGTGATCAATAAGGTGGACAGAAGGTGTGTGTGTGCAGAACAGTATTGGTTAAAATACCGAAAAATAACTTCCATTCACTTTAAATTAATATAATTAATAAATTATTTTCACATTTTCTTTTTCAATATATAGTAAACAAAAAAGAAATGTATATGTATTTTGCATTGTAGGAAAGTTTGGCCTTTATAAATTAGGTATATTCAAGCAAGAAAACAGCGAACACACCCAGTTCAATGAGCACTTATGTGAGGCAGTCATTAGAGGCAATATACTACCTGATCAGCCCCATTTTGAGATCATTATTGATAGAACATTATAAATTTTCATTGTTTTTTTTTTGGGAAATTTTGAAAAATATGTTGTCCGAGTTGCTATTATTCTTTTCTTTTTAATTTACATACTTTTCATTAATAGCAAAATAATATTTCGTCACTCTAAGATTTTCGTGTTCTAGATATATCTTGCAATTCGCTATGTAAGTATCAATATATGAATAAAGAACCGTTATTACGATTTTTTTTGTGCATATATCTTTAAAATTGTATGCATGATAATAAACGGTTTAAGAGTGACATTTTTGCAAAGCTATCCACGTCGTTCCGTTCCATTTGGGACGAAAGTGTAATGTTTGGCTTTAGCAGGCTGTCTTGTCAAATTTTGCAGAGTTGAATGACAGGCTCTAGTTTTTTAACTATGCTATTTTGTCATCTTCTTAAAGGCAGCCAAAAACTTGCCTCCAATATAGAGCGATATAAATCTCACTGTTATACAGGGTGTTTTCTAATTGAATGTAAGGGGACGATTTTTGGGTCGATTAAAAAAAATCATATGAACATATGTCAAACGTCTTGTTTGAGATACAGGGTGACTAAGTTTTCAAAAATAAAATATTTTCTTTAATATCTGCAATGCAACTTAATATATTTTAATGAAATTTGTATACTACAATTTTTTTAAAATACACCAGTGGCGGGTATACGGATTTCTCTTAAAATATTCTTACAATATCGCTTAAAATCGCAGAAGAGAGGTTTTTTAATTTTTTTTAAGGGAAAATCGTTATCGGATTGAAAAAATAAAAAAAAATTAAATTAAATTAATTAATATCGCGTAATTAAAAAAATGTGATACACTAAATAATAATTATAATATCTAAAGGGGTATTATAGATATTAAAAAATATATATTTCAATTTTGAAAATTTTACCGCTCTGGACCATGGACGCCGAAAAGTACTTGAAAGTATTGTCAATTTTTAGCCAGTTAAGTTCCTGGATTTATTAATATTATCAAGACATGGGTAATAGAGGACGAAACCATAGTTTATAATCGATTGAGCTAAAAGTTCCCGTGAACTGAAATTAAGCACAGTTCTATGCCTTTTTCATCAACAAAGATACATGTTCCACGTATCTAAGTCTACAATCAAATATAACACCAAGGTTTTTATTACAATTCACAAATTGTTCAATGTTAGGTTTAGGAGAAAAGAGGATTACACTGCATTTTTTAGCATTAAGTTGAAGAAATACCGTATAATTCGGACCAAACTATACCGACCGAGGTGACCCGCAACTATAAAGGTGAGTCGCCTCGCCTATTTCAAGTCGTCCAAACCGGACTTGGTAATTACGGACTCGGCGTATACGTACTCGTTACTTTAGAGCCACACTCGAAGGTGTACGCCATCAGCCATTACTATACGGCGTGTACCAAGACAATCGCCGCAAAACACTTACATAAAACGACTCCCACAATCGGCCAGATATTCCACATGGTGGCTTCCAAAAAAAAAACACTCCTCGTTAAAATCCAACTGGTACCATTTAAATATCCAGGCGTCACCGCACTGTAGCACCAACGTTTCCCTTTGGCGATCACTGACGCGGTTGGTTCATCGCGATCTTAAACGCCGGCACCGCGTGGCCACAAAAAAAAAGAAGAAAATCCGAAAGCGTCGGGTCGGGAAATAAAGTCGTTAAAAAAGTGCGTCGACGCGGTTTAAACTATAGTGACGCGTGCGCAGCCTTTCTTCGTACGTCGATGGTCGGACCGAAACTGAAGATCGGAGGAAACGGGTCGCAGGTAAAAGTCGCAAACCAGTTAGTTCTGCGTACAGGGCTGGTCTGGCTACCGCTGCCGCGTACTGGACGGAATAACGTCGGTCTCTGCCAGTACGAACGGAAAATACGAGAAGCGACGAAGAAGCTGGCTCGTCACGCGGTCATCGGTCCATGTAATGTAATGTAAACGTCAAAAATTCGATGAAATCTTTTTGAATTTGGATAATACAATTTGGTGAAGCTTGCACTTCGAAGTTTGGTATTAGAATTTGATAAGTACGTATTCAAAAATACTTCAAAATTCCCATAAAACTCCTCTAATTTGGATATTAGACTCTAGACTTGCTATTTATTTATGTGTCACAGGTCATTCAACAAGCAGTTTTTATATTTAACAAAATCGGGAAAGTGGGCAATAAATTTTTTACCTCTACAATGAAAGCAAGGGTTGGATTTAACCCATACTATCCCAAGCATAAAAAATCCTTTTTTGCTCTGAAATTATTTATTATGTTGCACTTAGGATTACATGACATGTGTCAAAAAAAAAAATAAAAAAAAAGAACCACTGGGAAAAAACATTAAATAATGTTTTGGGTCACATAAGATGTAACATATAATTTATACATAAACATACAAAAGAAAGTTCAAATTCGACAGAAAACAACTAAATATTTTTTCACGTTATTTTTAGCAAAGATTTACAAGAAATGGAATGCTACGATATATAAGAATACGTAAATCCAACTTACGACTTTTATCTAATTCCTTTTGAGTCAAATACCTCGGAATTGTCATATATTATAAACTGTAACGTCCACTGCACAAGGCACAAACTAATACTAAAGAACACGCTAATTGTTGGATGTTTATTCTAACTGCGCTGACTTGTCTAGACTTGCAATAACAAAGTTTTGTTTGACAGATAAAACCAGTACCAGTAAATGAAAAAATAAAGCATAATCAATATAGCATTTCCAATGTATGTTTTCTGCGTTGTAATATACATGCTGTAAATTAAGCGCCCAGAAAAGGGGGTTTTAGGTAAATATCTGTTTGAAATGAGGAAGAAAAAGCTCCAAGAAAACGGGTTTTGACTATAATCTGCTCGAAATCAAGAGCAAAAACCAACCATTTGTCCCAAAAGAGGGGTTTTGAGTAAATATCTGCATTTCTAAGGTAGATTTGGGAACAATAAGAGGCGAAAAAGCAGATTCTGACTGGGATCTTATCGAAATCGGCAACTATTTGACTCGGAAAGGGGATTTTACATCGATTTCTAATGGTTTATAAAGGTTTGCGTTACTCTAAAGCTCGAAGACGCCGACTTTGACTAGTATTTGAAAGATATTGACAATGTTTGGATCAACAAACGATAGTTTAAGCTGATATTTTCAGTTTTGATGCGGCTTTAGGTACAATCTACATGCTATAGACTGAACAAAAATGGCAATACAAATCCAAAATATTTTTTTTGACTATACCGCTTTTGTTAACTTTTGAAGTCATATATCTTTCCTTTATACATAAATTAGCGATTTCTACGGTTTTATATGTTTTATATATAAAATTTCCTGGATGTGACAAAAAAAAATCATAGAATAGGTGGTACATTAACGCACCACTGGTGGAAAATGGGTGAAATAAATTATAACTACAAGCTAAAGAATTTTATATACGTTTGTTTTAAATAAACTAAGGCTTAAAATAAACCGAACTGTTTGTATTATATTGTGAAAATGTATGTTTTTTTTATTTGACTAATAAAAAAAGTCGTTTATTATCATCATTATTGTTACTTTACTTTGACGAGGAATAGTTAATAACCTGAGCGTACGTTTCTAAAAATTACTATAAAACTCTTTGAATTTGGATATTAGAAGGTTGCAGTTTCAATTTTTATATTAGAATTTTCCAAAGTGGGTGAGATATTTGGCGAGGAATTTTTGGAATGACCTCAGCGTACGTCTTCAAAAATGTGTCAAAATTCCTATAAAACTATTCGAATGACCACGGTGTACGTGTTTCTAAAATACGTCAAAATTAATAGAAAACTATTCGAATTTAAATATTAGAGGTAAAGCTTACTCTTTGAATTTTTTCAATAGAATTTCGTGAACTGATTCATATTTGGCGAGCATTAGTTTGCGATGACCTCAGCGTACGTCTTCAAAAATGTGTCAAAATTCCCAAAAAACCGCCTGTTTCATGTCAGGGTAGAAATAGGTCAAAAATTCACCAAATTTCGGTATTAGAATTTGGTAAAGTTTACTGTTTGAATTTTTAAATTAGAATTTGGTAAACTGGGTGATATTTGGCGATAACCTCAGTATACATCTTCAAAAATACGTTACAATTCTTCGAATATTGGCGTACTTCTTCGAAATTAAGTCAAATCCCCATACCACAAACGTCTTCGAATTTTGAATTTGAGAATTTTATAAAGCTATCTGGGTCATATTTTTACGGGAATGGTTTGCGATGACCTCAGCGTCCGTGGTCTGAAATAAGTCAAATTTCTCAGAAAACTCTACTCTACGTAAACTAGGTCATATTTGGCGAGGAATAGTTTGCAATGACCTCAGCGAATGTTTTCGAAAATACGTCATGGCTTCCAGAACACTCTTCGAATTTTGGTAAAGCTTTCCGAGTAATATTTCAACAAAACAACAAACAAAATTTGTAGAAAAGGGACAATGAGTTTATCGTTGTAAAACCTCCTGGGTCATATTTTAGGGCCGAAACAGTGTTTCACACTACTTGAAGTCACTCTGGAATAGAAACTCTGAACATCTAACAAAGGACATGTCTTAACTTCAACGCTTTAGTCGAACATTTACGTATGGTTTGATTTCACCTACGCTTTGGTGATTTTTCAGTATTTGGTCCAGGCCATGGTTCCACAGGTGGAAACGACAAAGTTTTTGCTGGGCTTACCTACGATAACTGAAGTTAGAATAATTGTAACTGATTACGTCAAACATTAAACAGTTAAAAAAATAGTTTGCTTTTAATTTTATTTTCTCCGTTCTGATTGCCGATAAGCAAAGTATCTCGAGCATCGTGGTGAATTTTTATGACATTGAGTGGTGATTTCCATTAAAGTTCTTGCATACGCGTGGGTATTATCATCGCGACCAGAAATTTTGTGGACTCCGTCCCTGCGTGTCGAAGACCAACTGCCAAAACAGTCTAGCGGCGAGGGTACCTTTTATTTTAACGCTTGCGGATACGTTAGGCCCTAAGCGATGTTCGTCCGGCCCGCTTTGGCGAAAAAATGTTCACTGTTAAGTTGATGTTCCGGCATGAAACTTACTATGCAGGATTAGGTACGGTTTTCGCGGCAAGAAGTCGTCGGAAAACGGATTACTACACCTTAGGGACAGCTGGGTGACGTCATTTCCTCACTGGCAAGCTATACGGACGCTGTCAAGTAAACTTCTCCGGTATCAGTCTCAAAATATTGAAACTAAGTGGACAAGGACGGCAAAATAGTAATAGTAAGAAATGGAAGTGAAAACAAGTAAAATCAATGATGCAATGGTAAATAAAGATAATTTTTTATATAAACTATAACGGTTTTACTAGAAAACAAAATTTATAATAAATAAATACTATACTATTTTTCATACGCGGTCTTTAGAGGATTGGGCCGTATAATTATTATTAATAATAATAGACAACTTACATTATATCAACTTTAAGAAAAAAGAAAAATAATAATAATAATAACATTAATACGTTTATTATGCTGTATTCAATACACAATATAATAGATATTGTAAACAGATAAATTGCAGAAAAGGAGATGAAAGCAATAGTTCAACCCCTATGAAGTGGTAGATAACAACTAATTCTAACTGCTTGAGTAATACTCAAATTCAGTAAAATACTATGGTACTGAATACAAAAAAAATCAAAAATGGAGAGGCTGCCATAACAGTTAAAACATTTTTTTCTTTATTTTCATTTTACTTTTATATTTCTTGGCTTATTACGATATTTTCTCATAATTTGACAAATTTTCGGAGGTGTTAAACAGGGCATTTTTGACGAACAAATGGTCATAAATCCGAAAACACTCGATATAGACTATAACCATCCTTCCTTAGGAGACCAAATACGTGGATAGTTCTATTTTAAAGTATATTACTTTGGTTTTCGATATTTATGAATGCCTTATATATTTGAAAATAATTTGAAATTGTTTCTTTTACTCTTTATTTTTACTTTACTCCAACATTTTTTTCTAAAGCAAATAATAATTAAGATATATATTATTTTAAAGTGGAAGTCCTGTTTACAAGTATCATAAAAGGAAAGGTCTTTTTGTGCTACAACATCGTATAGTTTTGGTGATTTAACAAAACATAATTTTGATTCACCATGATTTTGGCACCTTACAACCTGACAACCTTACTACTCTGGTATTAACTTTTTTCTGTAAAGCCTAAAATAATAAATTAAAACGCGCAAAGCAACACTGAGTACAGACCATAGGATAGGTGATTGAGTATATATAAAATATATGTTACATTTTCCACATATTCATGAATCACCCCGTATATTTGAAAACCCCGTATATTTGAAAATAATTTGAAATTGTTTCTTTTCTGTTACACTTATCTATGACTTTTGTATTTAACATTTTTTTCAAAAACCAATAATCAATGGGATATATTACCTTGACGCACTATTTGAAATACCCTGTATGCTTTATAATAATGCGGTATTTATCACGGCCTAAATTATCACAAACGATTTTGATTTTGAATTAACAGCGCGGAGTGCGGCTTTTATATCAATCCCCGTCGCCACTCCATGACATCATTGCAATTGACAGGTATCTGTAATAATAATGGAGGGTCTATTTTGAATTGTCGCAAAGGTCACGTCGACATTTTGGTTAGTTTAATAATCGAAACTCTCGGCTGGACCTCGGAACCGTCGCCCCATAGTTACAAGGTGCGTTCAAAAAATA